TTTTGTTACTCCGTGCTACAGGTAGCCAAGAGACACTTGTTAGCCCAGCGCAGGTATTGACTGTGCCCAATCGGCTAACCACGCTTTACCATTTGGGAGCACCCCAAAGGTTTATTCTCCTTCCCTCCATCACACAGACTGCCTCCTTCCTCTCAATTTTGAGCATAACACTCAGCACTTGTTGTGCCTAAAACACTTGACCATACTTGTTTCAAATCTAAGAGGAGGGGAATGGGAAGGAAACCCTGTGTGAAAGGAGGAGAAAAGAATGTGCAAACACCAAGACTTCCCTGAATGCCAAACCATGGTTAAGCTAATTGGGACAGACCACAGCTCAGTGGTAACACACCTGCGCTGTGCCCTAAAACCCTAAGTTCAGTTCCTGCCATCTCTAGTTAAAAGGATCAAGTACCAGTAGGTTGGTTTGGGCGATGCTTTAAGTGCAGAGAAGTGTATCGTTCCCATGGACTTGAAGTTGCCCTAGGGACACACACAGTGCCCTACTGGGGAATCCTCAGGTACCACTTTCCCCATTTACCCCCACAGTAAGTGCTGGTATCACTCAGGGAAGCTGGGGTGACAGCAGGTGAACACGTGCACTGTGGGCAGTGTCACCCTGCTTCCCAGGAGAGTGGAATTGCTCACATGGAGGGGAGGCTGAAACGTGGGGCAGGCGCCGCACTCTGTGCTTGCAATGCCAGGGCAAGGCAACCAGTCCCCTCTGCTGCTTGGCCATGGCACCACCACGGCAGGATGACAGGGCTGGACGGAGAGACATGTGCCTTCCGCTTACCAACTGGGCAGGGGTGCTTTTCCAGGTCAACACCATGTGCAGCAGTGGCAGAAGGTGGTGCCTCCCTCTCGACTTTTGCATGCTGGGATGCCCACAGGCAGTGCATTTGTCCTGGCCTGCCCACCAGGATCTCCCTGGGAGGAGGCCCAGCCTCCACCTCCTCGCTCACCCCACTGTTGCAGCTGCAGAGGGTGCCAGACACCTCCTCAAGCCCTACTGAGGAAAACGACTCATGTGTGGTACGGATAGGCAGACCCCCCCCCCACCCAAGGAGGAGTCAGGCTGGGAGGGAAGTGATTCTGTATGTCAGCATCACATGGAGGGCAGGGATTACCACCCCTCCAGAGCTGCCCAAGCCATGCAAAGACAGGAAATGCCCAAGTTGCCAAAATGCCACACTTCCTGGAGAAGAGGCACAGCACCAGCCTGACCAGCTCGCCCTTCCTCCTGCCCCCTCCTGGAGTAAGAGCAAGCATGCGAAATTGCACACACAGCTGGTAGGAAACAGGAGCAGACTGGGAAGCCAAGTCAGCTTGGTTTCCCTGGGAGGGGGCTCAGCGAAGAAAGCAACCCTTCCACCCACTAGGCACAACCAAACTCCCTGGTGGTGGGGGAAGAGTGGAGTCCTCTTGTACCACCAGCCCTGCTACCTCCTCATCCCAGTGGCACTGCCAAGCAGCAGCAGGGAGTGGGGGCACCAAGGCGGGGCACTGGGCTGCTCTGCCTGCCATCGCCTCACTTGTCACCTACCACCAGAGCACCACGGGCAGGATCAGCAGACAGGGAGGTGCGGTCGGGCTTCGTGTCCTCCTTCTCCCACTGTGCACCACTCTCTAACTCCTGGACGTGAGCAACTGGCACATGGTGGAGCCTGGTGGCTCCCTCCCTCTCCAGCTCAGGAGTGTGGGACTACTCAGGAACAACCTGCCGGAGTGAGCTGTCTGCAGCCATGCAAACCATCACATCAGACAGGGCCCTTGGTCAGCAACCCTTTTTTGGAACTCTGGCCAAGAGGGTCTGTGGCCTCTCAGCTTGTCCAGGTTTGGTCCACACACTAATCCACAGTGGGTTTCCTAAGCCCAAGAACAAGCCATGGCCACAAGCAGGGGCAGTTCAGATTATGCTGGTTTTGCACATCATGCAAACCCAGCTAACATGTGAATGGATGGACAAAGACTTTCCTCTGGTGTTCCTATGTAAGTGGGCAGTGTTAACAATCAGCACTAGGCCGGAGCACTGGTGCTGAAGCAGAGAGCTGAACCAAGGACTTCCCAGCTTATTCTCTTGATCACAACCCTACACTGGTCATTTACACTGTTAATACTGAACCTAAGAAAGGAGTTAAATATGTCAGACATGATGTCAAAAATAAAGAAGGCATCCATTCCTGTCTAAGTGAAAAGGGAGTTTCTCAAGGAAAGGATCATATTAAAAGTAGCGGTCAACATGGAAGAAGGAAGGAGTGCAGATAATGGTTTTCTATTTAAAAAACCTTCTAAAACACCCAATTTCACATGCTGTAGCCACTGAAGCATTGCCAGTTTTCCAGCTGTCCTCTGTGTGGAAGCTCACATACACTTCCATGACACCCCCTCCCCTTTCCTGTTTGTTTGAGAAACTTCCATTTAGCCTATGGATCCACCAAAACAAGAGCCTGATCCTAAGCATTAAAATGAGGTACACCAAGAGCTAAGTCAGCAGAGTCCTGGGACCTGAAGCTAATGGAAAGCACTAGGATGAAGAAAACAAATTTCATAAATAAATCAAAGTATTTATTTCATTTGGGTATGCCAAAGGATCTTACACTGCATTAATTCCACAAGGGTAGATAAATTACATGTCCCTGAAGCAAGAATCCTGTAGCAACTTGAGACTTTAAAAAATTGTGGCATATGTCTTTGTAGTCAAGTGGTTACTTCCTCAGATGAATCTGAGAATGCAAACTCTTGCATTCAAAAATTAGAAAATACTCTTGGTAGTTTTTAAGGGACACAGGAGTCTTGTTTCTAGAAGTAGAAGGCTGCTCATCTGATACTCGTTGAAACAATGAAATGTAACACAGATACTGGTCTAAAGCAAGGACAAAAAAGGCAAAACAAAAAAAATCAGTATAATCAATGCCTGTACTGGGGATTCACTTGCTTTTCTTCACCCTGCTGGTATCACCTCCTTGAACATCTGCAGGTGGATCTTTCTTAACACTATTCAGCTGCCCTGTCTCAGAGGCCTTCAAATTCCCTTAACATTACTTACCTGAATCACCCTGAATAAACAGTCCCCACCCATCACCTACTTCTTTTGTGCATAGCACCTACTCACAGAGAGCTACCCTTATTGACTGCAAGGCAAGTTAGCATGAAAAACTGGAGAGGTAGTTAGAACAAGATGCACTAGAAAACTTGCATCCTGCTGGAGGCAACAAAATCCACAGGTTATTCTATTCATTCTGTTGGTCATAAGGCATAATCAGATCAGCACAGTCCAACTAACAAGCCTGCCTTTTACAGGTAGATTTTTTTTTTCTCCACTAAGAAAGACAAGAGCCCTTCTCACAATTTTTTTTGGGGGGGGGGGGGATATCACAGCAATGCAACAATTGTGGTGCACAATCCTCCAAAAACAAAACAGGACTTAGAAGTGTATACTGGTCACTTTGACCAGATCGTGTCCATACAAGGCATGAGAGAAAAGATTCACAAGGTCAGATATTTTTCATTTTAATGTCCTTTATTAGAGGAGCAGGGAGAAAATAGATCCCCAGATGTTTTGGATTTCAACTTCCAGAAGCCCTCACCAGCATGGCCATGGTCAGGAATCCTAGGAGCTGAGGTCCCAAACACCTAGAAATCTATTGTCAGTCTACCCACACTTTATCTCAAACAATGTTCCATAACACAGAATGATTATCCTTAGTTGCAAAACCTCCATGCTTTATACAATAACTATCATCACAGCATTACTTTAAGTTGTAAAGCGTTTTTGACAACTGGATTTAGCACCTTTTTTGCAGGACTTCTTATTTCCCCACACAAGAGGCTTAAACCTTCCCAAATTCCCCCAGTTATTTTTAGCAGGATTCACCTTCACAGTCTTCTAAAACAGGCAGACAGAAGTGTAGATTTGGAACTTGCTTTAACACACTACAGTGAAAACCAGGAACACACTTCTCGCCAAAGTACAGTAGCAAAGTGACACAATATTGCTCCCTTGCAGGAACTTAGGGACCCCTTTCCCCCAAAAAAGAATCATATCCCAAATTGAAAAGTAAAGGAATGCAATCTTTCAAGCTGTCCAGAAACTCAACCAACCAGTTGTCAATAGCCAGTGTGGGGCTACAGTTAGAACACTGGATTTGGATGCAAAAATCCAGATCACATTCCTGTTACCTATCATGCTAATAGACCTTGGCTATTAGACCTGGGCTAGCTCTTAGAAAAACCTATCTCATGGGGCTGTTGTGAAGGTAACACCCGAGGAAGGGCAGGGTACAAGAAAAACAAATAATACAATAACTGAATACAAGGAAAGGGGGAGGGTGTTGATTCAATTAAAGCCACTTTTCTTCAGCTAATAAGTAGCAGCATAGGGCCTTGCCTTATACTACATGAGGCCTAGCCCAGTATTTTCCATACTGTCAAGCAAGCAGGGTAAGAAAAACTGCAGGCTTTCAGACAGGTGTCTCTCCTCCCTACCTGGAGATGCTCGGGACTGAACTTGGGGAGTTTCTGCATACACAATCATTCCAGTATGGCTACATCTGAAACATCCCATAAGCTAGATTTATAGATTTGCTTTGCCAGATCTTGATGACTTAAATGTAATTTTTGCGGACTGTTTTTCATTCCTTGTTATTTGCTTCCACACTACATTTCCACTGTTCAACTTCTTTGCCACGGCCACATGGACTACAAATCCCAGGCTCCCAACAAGGCCCTGCAGGCCACAGTAGCTCACAGATAACACAATAAGCCCACCCTGATGTCAATAAAAATATAAATAATTTTTCAATATCACAGAATGAAGGCGCTACTATATGCCACAGTTTTGAACCCATTAATGGAACCTTTACAGTTTTTCCCTATTAATTAATTAGGAATTGAACTATGCCATAACTTTGCAATGTCATTTTCTTTTACAAAATGCTTTTCAGCAAAGTTGCAAACAAGAACATTTAAAATGAGAGAGAGAAAAATAAAGCAATTCCTACCCCTTTCTAAGCTTCAGGCTGATCTTCGGAAATGCACTTTATATCTGTAACAGGAAGAGAAAGAAGGTGAAAGGAGGGGTGTGGGTGTTAAAATGAAATGTGACTGTAAAAAGAGCTATGAATACAAAACCCAAATTTCATTCACCTAGCAGGATACCGCAGTTCATCCAAGTAACAATTGAGGGAAGGGCAAGAGTGAAAATATAACTGGAGCAGCACACTGTGACTTCAACTGCACTGTTTCCTACACAAATCCTACTATGTTTTAGGGAGAAACATCACATTCCACCTGTGTTTGAACTCATGACATTAGCCAGCTCTGGGCCTCAGGGAGAGAGAAAAAACAAAATCAAGGAATGCCTGCATCAAGGAAAAGGTTTTTTTTTAACAAAGTGCTGCCAAAAATTCCTATAAACACCAACATGAAAGCTAATGGAGGAAGACTGCCTAGCGACAGTGACACATGCATTGGTTACTTCCCGGTTGGATTTCTGCAACAAGCTTTACGTGGGGCTGCCCCTGAAGACAGTCCGGATACTTCAGATGGTGCAAAACAGAGCAGCCAGGTTGCTGACGGGGACTGGGCATTATTCTCATATAACCCCAGTCCTCCATCAGCTCCACTGGTTTCCCATCGAAATCCGGGCTCAATTCAAGGTGCTGGTTATTACCTATAAAGCCCTTAACAGCTTGGGACCAGGATACCTGAAGGAACGCCTTCTTCCATATTTGCCATCCTGCCCCTTGAGATCGGCAGCAGAGGCCCTCCTCCAGGAACTCTCCATGAAAGAGATCAGGAGCAAAGTACCCAGAGAAGGGCTTTCTCTGAGGTGGCACCCCATCTATGGAATGCACTCCCCAGAGAGGCCCGCCTGGCGCCGTTGTTATTTTTCGGTACCAGGTTAAGACCTTTTTATTCCAGCAATATTTTAATAAATTTTAATATTGTCTTTTCCATGTTTTTAACTGCAGCCAGTGTAGGTCAAGAATTTATTTGTGTTGTATTTTATGTTGCAAGCCATCCTGAGGCTTTTTGTGACAGGACGGCATATAAATATTTTAAATAAATAATGCATTCTTAGACTCTTCCTACTAAATTTGCACCACCAATGCAAAAATATATACTTACACAAAAGTACAACCAGACACTATCTGTCCCTAACACCATAATCCTATACACAATTTCCTGGGTGCACACTTCATTGAATTCAATGGGCCTTACTTTTGAGAAGTTGTGTATGAACTGCTGAACTAATCACACTTGCAAGGGAGTAAATTCCACTGAATGCAGTATGACCAACTTCCAAGAAAACTTTATTGGGATCCTGATACCATGTGTTTAGTCCTCTAATATGTACAGCTCTATAAAGCCATTGATTAAAGCAACATGTGTTACACTTGTGCAGATATTTAGGTACAAGAGTTTGTACACAGATAATTCCTAAACGTATTTCCACTGTTGACCATCAAGTGCTGGATGTGTTTTGATTTTAAAGTTAGAGATGTGCAACACTTTAAAAACTAAAGTGATTTCATTTTATTTTCTAAAAGAAAAAAAGCAAGAGAATGAATCCCTGAATTAACTTGGGTTAATTTTAGCATCCTTCTGTTTAGCTGCTTAGCAACACTTATCCTATGACCTTCCAAGCAGCACCTATACTTTCACAAGGGATAACAAGTATAACCTAAGAGATCTAACAACGATAGCTAGTTTGGACTAGCAGTGCACAGCTGCCAATGTACAAGTTAGCTTTTATTACAAGAAAAATATTCAGACAAGGGTGCCTTTAATAAGACATCTTAGCATAAGGTTCAATTTAAATATAAGACCATCCCAAGCAAGTAATAAAAGCCTATACAAGCTTTGGAAGAAACAGGCAAAGTTTTCAAATGCACAGACCATCCATAATATGCTGTAACATATTACCCAAACCATCATTATGCATGAAAGACTTTCATTTTTCACTTCTGAGGTTTGACTTTGAAGGGCACTTGCCTAAACATCTATGATGCAGCAATGCAGGAATGGATGCACCAACTGCATGGATAAGAAACAAATCTCAACTGTGATCATATTAACTCTTATTCAAATTGCTTATTATTTTCACACATATATTCCAAAAGTTTTGACATCCAGGAGGGTTGGATTCTAAAAATGTTCATTAAAATCAAGTTGTAAATGAGTTAAAATAAGACTTCTTAAATGGACACACTAATAGAATACTTATTTAAAATGCTTAAATTGCAGCAGACATGTGTCACTTTAGCAAACTGAAAGTAACAAACAACACATCACTTTTCTCAGCAAAGAGGCCTGCAAAATGCCAATTTAGAGTATTGTATTTGTAAATTATTGAAATTATGCACTCTCCCTTGTTCGTGCGCTCTCTCTCTCTCTCTCACACACACACACACACACACACACACTTTTCCAGCCAATTGCACTGAAACAAGTAAAACCATTAGGTGTGTCTTAAGTGAAGGATGAAAAGAAGTGTTTCGGTAACTTGATTGATAGTATGATGGAACCATGCTGTTTTTAAGTTCTAACACACAAAGGGGTCTATTCTCCAAGGGATGTACATAACACCGGTTAATGCTAATGGGCATTATGCACACACATCAAGGGAAGCCTATACCCCTAAGCCTTCAAAGGGAAAATAAAACCCTAAAACAAATATGGCTGGTATGATCAGGAGTCAGTAAGGGCATCCCTCTCCCAACTGGCAGCACAACACACATTCATCCGTGGAAAGGGAGTGCTGGTCACCTTTTAAACCTTTCCAAATGGCCCCAGAATCTCCCCTTCCTAACCTTAAAGTAGGCAGGGTTGGAAGAACAAAAAAGTTACTGGAAATTAAGTCTTTTTCTGAGCAGAACTCCCTATCCTTCCAGTTCAGACAGATGCCGTTTTCCCCACCAAATGAGTTGAAAGGAACTGGGTGAACTACAACTGATCTCATCTAAAGGATAAGGCATGTGCAGAGCGGGGCAGTAAGAAAGCTAAGCCTGAAATACGCTTCCAAGAAATTGGACCAACTATTTTTCCAGGATGAATTGCACCAGCCTTGTGTCGTGTTCAATGTCTCTGTGGCAGCTTCCCTTTCCACCCTACAAAGTGCACAGCTCTCATGTCATCATCTCAAACGAAAAACAAAAAAAAAAAAAAAGGAAGGAAGGCCCATTTAGCCAATTAGATGGAGAACTTTTAATAAAATATCACACGCACACAATCTCTGGGAGCATGCAACCAAGCACTGATACTTCTGCTAGCTCTTTGGTTGTGTAGAATTTCGTCATGGAATGTGCACAGCTCTTCCGGATCTGGGCTCTCATTCTATCTTCTAAGCTAAGCAGTCAAGGAGCAAGGGAGGACATTATCTGCTGAGCCAGGAGAAACGCTCGCCCTCCCCTTTTATAACCTATCAAGGATGCATTGCAGAGCACTCCGAGAGAGGGAGGGAGATAGTGTAACGCAGAGGTAAGAGGGGGTGGGAAAGAGAGCAAGCGCAGAAGAGAGAGAGCCGGGGAAGAAGGGGGCAGGGATCCAGAGCAAACTTATCAACCGACATGACAAAGTTCAATCCACCTCCACCATCAACAGGCTGCAGCAACGGCGGCTCCTCCCTCTGCAAAAGTTTTCAGCATCTCGCCTCCTCTGGCTGCTCTACTCTGCCCGGCAACGAGATGCGTTCGTCCGTTGCACAACTGCGAACAAGCTGGGAAGTGACTTTGGTCGCGGAGGACGGATGAGTGCAACCACGTTTTTCCACGGCTGCTCGTCCTCCCTCCCTCCCTCCCTCCCTCGCTCTCTGGCCTCCCCTAGTGAAGGAAGGGGAGCAGGGGAATCCATCGATGGAAAACTTTGGTCAACTTCCAAAGAGCGGCGAGAATCTTTTGCAAACTCCATGTTGTTGCTTTACATTGGAGGGAGCGAGATGGATGGGGGGGGAGGGGAGGGGAGAAAAGGAAGATCAGGCTCCCGAAGAAAGGAGGAACTTTATCCCTTTCTTACATTTAAGTAAGGAGGAGGAGGCCGAGAAATATGCCGATGGACAAGGGGCGGGAGAGGGGGAGAGAGGAAAACCTTTCCCCGCTTCTTAGCAACGATTAAGGTCGCAGTTTCCTAAGAGACGAGTCCCGACTAGCCTACATCAACATGCAGGGAAAAATAGAGGGGGGAGAGGAAGGGGAGTGTTTTACAAGAAGTTTTAGATGTAGCGGGGGGGGGGCAGTGAACAGCAACTGAGGAGGGTGCAATCCGAGATAGGGGAACGGATTAAAAATAGTGTGAGTCCAGAACCAGAAAGGTTACGGACCAGTAAAAGAAGAATCCATTGCAACATATTTAGTATTATTAAGATTATGTGGTAAAAACCAGCAGCAGTACGACACATTTGTCTAGTTTCGATGCCAGTCGGGCTTTTCCTGTACTCGTGACGATGCGCGTGTGCGTTTCCTTCTATAATCCATAACACACACAGACACAGAGAGAAAGAGAGAGATGCCTTTGACACAGTACTCTGGGAAAGGGGGTGCGGGAGAAGGCCCTTTCCTCCACCCCGGTACCCAAAAAGAAAAAACGAACCCCAAACTACTCTAGACTAATCCGAAAAGAAAGTTATCCGGATGACGCCTGCACCTTTACTTGAAGGCCAAGGAAAAGGATAGAAGGAAAGAAAAAGGCAGGCAGGCAGGCAGGCACTTGTGGAAGCTCTCACCTCCCTCTCTCCCCGCCCGAGGGTGGAGGGGAGAGAAGTGCAAAAGGAACGATAAGTACCAAAGTGCGAATTAAAAGAGCGAGAGAGACAGATGCTTCCAGCCCTAAACAGGCCGGAAAAGTTAGCAGATACCCAAGAGAAAAAAATCAAGCGCGGTTCCTCCCCTCCCCTCTACCTTGAGCAAGGCGATTCCACTTCAACCGAAAAGAGGAGAAAATAAATGCCACCTCATTCCCCATCATCTTCATCATCATCAAGCCATAAAAATTTCACGCACCAAAAAATAATAATAATCCTGGAAGAGGGGAAATTAGACCAGCAAGCAGGAGGATGTGCTTGAGGAAGAGCGGAGGCCAATTGGGTGAAAAGATGCTTCTTCTCGCAGGCCCATCCAAATCGTGGGTTAAAAATAAACTTTGCAGTAGGAGGGGAGGGAGAGAGATGATCTGGATGAATTCCTGAGCTCAGACAGTTTAATATGGATGAGCATCAGGGTCCTGCAGGCAACAGGCTGCAACGGGTGTTGCTGGTTGGTACAGTTTGCAACGCGGAAGAGAGGGGGGGAGGCAGGGAGGAGCGGGGGGTGGGGGTGGAAAGGAAGAGAGGCTGCACCAACGCATCAGCATCATCTACACCATCGCCAGCCAACTTTAGAAAGTTTTCTTTCCCCCACCCCTTTCCCAGGCTCCAAAAACGCTGCATCGCACAAACAACCTCAAAAAGTCACCCCACGCACTAAACGCACATTTCTACCTTTCGGTACACGACTTTCCCTTCCTCATCCCCACCCCTCGTCCCATCAATCCGCATAAATAAAAGTTTCCTGCCATACCGTTTTAAGCCATCAAAGAGAGAGACTCCTGCGTGCTCCGCTTACGAGTTTTGCTATCTTCCCCCCCCCCCCTTTTTTTAAAGCACAGGTAGAAATTTGTTCTGCTGCTATTAGCCTCGCGTTACTTACGTTTGACTTGCTCCGGGCTGGACTGCTTGGGTCGAGCCATGATGGAAAGCTGCTGGACTGATGATGGGCGATCTGGTTTTGTTTCTTTTCAAATAACAATAATAATTTTACGAGGACAGTGCCGTGGGGCGAAGAGATGGTGGGAAGCAGAAAAAGACGCAAAATACTGAAGGAAAGGAAAGTTTGTTCCGGAGGGAGAAGGGGGGGTGGGGGAAAAAAAGAATCAAATTCAAAATGGCGTTTCTATAGATGTGCAAAGTTCATCAACTCCACAATAAGTTCGCTTCCTCCTCTTCTCCCTGAAGGAAGAAGATGGCCAAAGTTATGAACCACTCCAGCTCGGGAGCGGCGCTCCGAGTGTGCCCCCCGCTCTCGCCCGCTCTCCCCCCTTCCCACTCATCAGCGGCCCTCCCCCCCCCCCCCCCCCCCCCCCATCCCCCTCACCCGCGGCCCCCCCCCCCCCCCTCTCACCCTAAGTAGACACATCACGTGTTGCTCCTGCTAGTCTCCAGGGGACGTGTTACTCAGCCAGGCTGCGGCGGCTGCCTGTTGCAAGCGGTAGCATCCCTATCTCTCCCGCTCCTTCTCTCTAGCTGGGAGGGGCTCCTCCTCTCCTCCTCCTCCTCCTCCTCCTCCTCCTAGCACAGAAGTGAGTAGAACTTTTCGTATTCCTTACCCCACCCCACCCCTCCCCATCCCTCCCAGTTGCACGGAGCCAGCTAACCTACTTCACTTTGCAACTTTGGCAAAACTTCACCTAACCATCAGGGCAACAGCACGAACTAAGTGCCTTACACTTCCAAATATAGATTATGCTTCCTTTTGTCTCCTTTTTAAAAAAGACATTACTTTTTCTCGACTTTCCTGGTTGGGGGGCGGGGGGACATAAGCAAAAAGAAAGAGGGAAGTTACCAGACTAAAAAGTCTCTTGGTGGTATTGTACCATCTGGTCGCGGCGGCGGCGGCGACTCCCCTCCATTACAGACTTCCAGTTTGTAAGAAGGAAGCGCCTGCTGCTGCGCAGTGAAAAGCAGTTGAGTGTTGGGGACTGATAAAGCGTCAGGGATGCAGACGGTGCACTATCTTCTTTGAAGGGATCGCTTGCTCGCTCCCCGTCTCGAGCAGCTTAATCCATTGTCAGCCAGGTGCCACACATTCAGCTCTCCCTCTCTCCCGTCTAATTAACAAGAAAGGCAGAAAAGCCCCATGTGGTGGCTGCACTGAAGTCCAGAGCCGATGGTGCAAGACACATGGCAGCCTTGGGTAGGAATGCTCTGGGTGGCTTAGACATCCTTCACAGTTGCACCTTCCAGACAAATGCGCAGGGAGGCCTTCCTCCTCCTCCTCCACCCAGCCTCAAATTTTGGGCTTGATTCATTTATTTTAAAACACACAGTTGCTGTTGTCAGAAAAGTCCTCAGATCTCTGTGGACCAGCTGCTTAGACCTTTTGAGGAGGATGCCTTATGGTTTATCTCTTTTTTTAATGTGTGTTCAAGTGCATAGCTGATGTCTGATAATCTGGTGCCTATTTTCAAAGGATTCCCTAAAGTCAGAAGTTGACAAATGTGAAATAATGTTTATTCCTGTGGGTGTGTGAGTCTGTCAAATTAATTTCTGGTAGCAAATAGGCCAACAGATTTTGTTTTGGGTTTTTTGCAACATTTTTAGAGTGTGTTTCTCCACATTTTTAAGGAAGAGATTAGCCACCTAACCCACAAGTATATAATCTGATATGCATGGTACACATGGTAATATTCTAAGTGCATTTAAACAGAAGTAGAGTTCAATGACTTACTGAATAAATGTGCATTGCAGCCTTAACTTTGCTTTTAGTTTAACTATGAACTATATGGTGCTGCCATGTCCCTTCCTTCTACATGTCCTTTCCTTCCTGTGTTCAATCCATGTAGATTCATCACTGCTTGGTCATAATAAGATTGAGTGGTCCTGAAAACTGCTGGTCATGGACTTCCCTTTCCATAGAACCACAGATAAACCATAAAAACAGATATACAGTTAGGATACATCCTGCAATCTTAGTTTTAAAGAAGGACTAGTGCAGCAAAGCAAGGATAACTATTTTTTATAATCTTTTAAGTTAGCACAGAGTGATTAACTTCTATTTTCAGTGGAAAGTTCATGTGGGAAAGATGTCTTAAAAGGGGGAGAGAGATACCAAAGAGGACCGACTATAAAGGATTCTAAATGTTCACGGAAATAGTTATTGATATATATCTTTAAACATTCAGCAACAAACAGGACTTAAATACACTTTCCATGTGTTTCTCTGGATAACTACTTGGGTCATTTTGAGGAGGTTATTATCTGCAACCCTCCACTCTTCCTCTGTAAAATGGGAACAATTGTGCAGAACTGTTATGAGACAAATAATATGCCAAACCATTAATACTGTTTGGCATTTAGTTTCAGGCTTTGGTTCAAAGCCTTTCAAATACACTATCTTAAATGCAATAACTGCTTGCGCTGATGACACCCTGTGTGAATAACACTTTGCACGGATAAACAGCAATCCCTGTTCTATACCCAAATTTGGCACACTGTCCAATCAAAGTGAAGCACTTATGCAGCCTGATCCTTTGGTTGTTTATTCACAAATAAGCTCAGTATTTGTTCCCCAGTAAATGTATTTAGATGATAGCTATAAGCACATGCTTTTTTACCCTGCTTTAGCCAATGGCGTTTAAAGGTGCTTAATTCAGCTGACACATCTGTCCTGGTGGGATCTGGAAACATGATGGCAAGCTCTGCTAAATTTCTTCCAATACAGGAACCATTGTATCCTTTATTTGGGACTGATAGCCCATGGTAGCGCTGTCCATTTAGGGTGCTGCCTTACACATTGCCCTCCAAAAAGGGGACAAATATTTGCTTAAACTGTATGTGTTTATGCATAGATTCAAATGGAGGCATCACTGCTAGCCTTTTAATGGAAATGCACTGGGAAGGTGATGTCTTGTCTGTTTTGCTCTCCATAGGTGAAGTGCAATGGGCAACTTCAGGGCTCCTGCTCTCTCCCTTCTCATGGGTTTTGAACCTTCAGACTGAACAGCCCCTCCAATAGAAGACACCTCCAAATAGAAGGCTTCTTTCATGGCCATCCTATCTCTGCTGCAGCTGTTCTTTTCCTCTGAGCTTTTTGGGTCAGGAATTGAAAGGAGTAGAAAGATGGAGACCTCAGTGCTTCCAATCTTTCACTTCCTGCTGAAGTTCTTCCTGGAGAAGCATAGAGGGAAAAGAATTCAATTCCCAGGCTGTACCAGGCAGAGAGGAGGGGAGGAAACTTCCTCTTGCTGGCATGATTCAATGTAGCCAACCCTCCACCCTTTTGAGGAAGAGAGGCTGCGGCTGGGATAAATCTGCCTTTGATTGGGATGCCTTGGTCTTTCCCTGTCTCCTTTCATTTTCCGAAGAAACCAGGCAGTGCTGCCTGCTACACAGTGTTCCTCCTTCCTGGGTAGTCCATTCTGATGTTGTCTTTCTTCTGAGGATGCTGAGCAAGAAAGGAGATTGGCACACAGTTGGAAAGAGGAATTGTAGGTGGCACACGGGGTCAGCTGGAGCTGGAATTGTTAGCAGACCGCTTTGTGTGCCTGGCTGCAGCATTAGCTGCACACAAAGCTTATGTACATCCCTGCACTGAAAAGCAAGGAGGGAATACACAGAAGTTATGTGTAGAGAATACAAGGGAGACACTCATTTTGACTGTCCCTAGGCGTACACTGTCATGTTGGATAGCACAGCTGGCAGAACAGGGACTGAGGGAGCACCTCCTGAATTTGCAAGGCTCAAATGAGTACATCACTAATGATTTAGGTATTTTTAAGTTTTCCCTCCCCTTCTTCTAGAGCTAAGCCTTACAAGCAACATACAAAGAATATATGAAATGATGGTATGTAAAGGAGAGCAAGGCATATGAAAAACAGCTTTGGATGATGCAGTCACTAATTTTCTTAACAATATGGATCAGTAAAAAAAAATACATTTTAAGGTATCAACCAGAAATGATTTCCAGAACTGTGGGGGCAACGACCAAGAAGGCCTTGGCTCTCATGCTTACCAATCAAATCAATGTTATAAGTGCAGACACTAGAAAGATCTCCAGCACCTAACTTATCTCTTGTATGGGCAGGCCGACACATATAAAGGCATATATACCCGGGCGTTACTGAATGAAACATGGCCTATAATCTTGAGTCCATCACTTGTTCCATGCATATGTGACTCAATGTTCCCCAGCATCAGATTCCCTACAAGGCTGAATAATAGCAGTTAGCATTTATAAACCACATTTCTGTGTTCCAGACACTCATCCCTGTATTGATAGTCCTTCCAAACAACCCTGTAAGGTTTGCCAGTATTATTATCTTAATTTTGTGGATGAAGAAACAGGCTAATAGAAAAGTCACTCAGATACAACACTGGCTGTGGTTACATTTCAGTCAGAGGCACCCCATTGCACACTTACCAAAGGATTCAACTGCATTCCTGTTACTGCACGATAATGGTAATTCATTTGCTGTGTCAGCAGAGATCATAGCAGAACAGGAAGAAACTAAAGTGGATTAGCAGCTCTGTGTCATTCATACCAACCTGGTTTGCATGCCGGGTTGTGGGTTAAATAACTCAAAATAAGCCAAGATGTCATTTTTGAACAGGTAATTCCTGATAGGAATGATTATGAGCTGGCTGTGTTGTACAAATTTGACCACCATGGGCTGTGAGTTCAACAGGGTGAGAGAACAGCTTTGGATCATACAGCTGACACACCCACTGGTTGACCCATCATGGTTCTATGTGTTTCCAAGGCTGAGCATCTTTTAGGAGCACGATGAAACCTGCCTTCTGTGGCTGGCCTTCAGGGCTAGCTGGTAGAGAACATTTCAGCCATACTTTTATTTGATTCACTTTTTTTCCCCTTAGGTAGGCTTGGAGGTGAAGGTGATTCTGCTACCTGGTCTAAGCCTTTGGAATGGTGCCAGGTATAAATCCACAGATATTTCAAGCAAGAACTTATCAGTTGATCTGGCAGATTCATTAATTAACTATCTTGAGCTGGTTTATTGGTGACTAATCAGCACATGAATTGGGAACACATCTATGTGTACAGTTTTAAGAATATCTAATTCTGGTGCATTATTGTAATACAACATTTTTAACAGAATACCAATGGTAGTTTTTCTTTCTAAAATTGAGCAATGACTTCCATTCATTTAGGCTATAAATGACCCAACGCTCATATGGTAGGAAGCAAATGCCTTTGGGCCTAACTGGATGTAGGATTCTTTTAGAGTAGCCACTTATACACCACCAAAGGACAAAGGGGGCTCTGGTTTACCTAAGATATGCCTGTTATATGTAGGTATAGCTGCAAATTGAATATATATATATATATATATATAGTACATCAAAATAGAATCCATCTCACCATAGTGAGGGAGACTGACCAGATGAGCCATGTACCTGCTCCATCCTATTGACAGATAACTTTAAGGCCTCTGCTCTCCCTTCATATGGTTCTTTCACCAGAACCAGACCTAGCCTTTGAAATGTAAGATGCCTTCAGATAGCTTATCCTATGACAGCCCTTCAAACAGAGGACTGTCCTCTGTAAAGTGGGGTGCATGGCTACCTTAGCACTTTCTAACACATTTTACTGTCAACCTGCAGACTGCCACTTCTTTGGCAACTGAACGCACAAAATTTCCCATACAGCCACATGAATGCAACTCCCCCATGTACATAAAGATTTAGAGACAGGAGTATGTTGGTACTAGGAGCAGAACAGGGCCTCTCCAAGCCCCCTAAAAACCAACTTGCTAGGGAAGAAGGCAGAAACCCCCCTGCCATCAGGAACCACCATGTACTGCCTGTCTGTTTTCAACCTCTGTGGTTAACACAGCAGTTTCTCAGACTGCAAGAAAGACCAGAGCTCGGCGTTAGAGCACTTGCTTTGCCTCCAGGAGATCCTAAGTTCAACCTCTGGCATCTCTCAGTTGGGCTGGAAAAGTTCCTGCTTGAAATCCCAGAGAATCCATGTTTACAATTTTAGGCTAGACTGACGAGTGATCTGCACTAGTTAGAAACTAACATAGTTAGTTTCCTATGTTGCTTTGCTCCTGTTGCTGAGCAGGAAAGTACCTCTACTTCTGTTGCTGCAGGATTGCCATGCCCTAGAACTTTGCCTAAACACTGTGAGTTGTGCATCTGCCAAGGGCAAGCGATATCCCCTAGTTTAGAACCCATTGCATTAAGTTTGTATCAGTTAATCAGTTAAAGGGGAGAAGAGAAACCAACCAAAGCATCAGCAACACAAACAGCTTCAGTTGATTGACAGTGACCCGGCTTATCCTGTCATATGTTTCTTTCTGTAGTAAGTGCTATTGAGTAATTTTACATTCAGCAATAGTTGCCAGGTGCAATTATTATAATGATAGTAATCAGGAACATTTCTGGCAAAAGAAGACACTTTAAACAATAGGTAGGGTGGATTCAGATGACCATGCTTGTCCTATGATTGTCCCAGCTGTCATAGGATACCTGGGCAGGGCTGGTCCAAGATGTTGCTCAAGACACTGGAAGCATCAACCTTCCCCTTCTGAATGAAGTAGCCAACTGGCCACTGCATCCTACTTCAACACAGGTGATGAGACAGCATCTTTGGAGGGCACCTGAAAGCAGAAGGGTAGTTTAGCGGCACAGAGCGGCCCACTTGCTACACACTGCTCTGGCCTCCCAATCCTTGCTGCTTCTTGCTCACTACCAGCACACAATCATCTAGAATCTCCCACCTGAAGAAGCCACTCCACTCTGCTTCAGCGAGCAGCTGTCCTGAAAATACCAGTTCATCAAACATCTTCACAAGAAGGTAAAAAAAGTGGTACCATCTGTTTCCTAAAACCAATAGTTTACTCTGTGACAAAGGGTCCTTTATGGTGCAATTATCACTTTGGGCATGGCCTATTACTAGGTCATCTCAGACCATTACCAGCTGGGATGATGATGGCCACCAGCTGACTGCACATTAGTTTAGATGTATTCAGATCCATACAGGAAAGACCTCCCAAAGGGACCTCCACCGTTAGAGAAAACGTTTCAATGCATGCACTCATGCTCTCAATACATGTCCTCCGGAAAGATAGTAATATTTGCCCGTTTCAGCAAAAATAATGAGCCTAGTGGTACTTTAAAGATTAACATACTGTGGTGTAAGATTTTATGGACTACAGTCCAGTTCATCAGATGCTTGGCGTTGTCCTCATTTGGCAAGTGTGGGTGCCATAGACACAAACATACACAGGGAAATGTAAAGAGCAGGATCAGATGGTCATAAAATGTAAAAAAATAAATCCAGATTGTGACCAGGCAATTAAAGCTTTAATGCATAGACATAATTTACAATAGGAATAACATAAAAATATGCATGACCATTCTCAACAACATCAATAGGTGATCCCGGATTTGCTTAGAAAACTGCCATTGGTTCATGTAGCCCAGTATTGTCAATGCTGGTTGGCAGCAGCTTTCCTGTCTCTGTGTCACTTTCCCTAAATTCTAACTATGTTGTTAAGAAATAAAGAAAAAGAAGTTGCAACGCTTTTGTCTTTAAGTTCTGGAGGAAGTGAGTCAGCAAGCAGAAAAAGAGTCCATATGTAAAGAGAGGGGCAACTTTTAAAGGGGGAAGCAAAGTTGTAACCTCTAGTGAGAAGACGTGTCCAATAGTAAAAATGTGGCCTCTCTAAAGAGGCACACAGTACTTGCTGGACAGAAAGATGTGTGCAGACTTAGAAATCTGCCAGAAGAGGTGATGAGCTTCTCTTCATCCATGAAATTTTATGGAGGAGCTCTAAATAATGCCATTTGCCATTTGCAACCCTCCTATGTTTGCTCCCATGTTGTATCAACTCATTCTTACCACACATAAGATCTGTTAAAAGTGAGAGAAAGTGAAGTCACCCAGTGTCTCCTGACTGGTACTCCCAGAAGCTCACTTTACTTGTGTGTGACCCTTACTATGAGCTACTTAGAAGATTGGCCCAAGCTGGAGCCAAGAATTCACTAAGAATGCATATATGTACATGCACATGTACAAAGTAAATGGGCTTTACTCTCACGTAAATGTGTGGAACGGGGAGAGAGACCTCTGGCATGAGACGTTTCCCATCTTTACCTGGAGAGGCTCTGCCTTCATCCATTGGCCCCTTTCCCTAGCCCCAAGCCCATTTTCCCGTTATCACCAGTGTGAATGAAATAACAGAGGGTATCCCCCACTTGCCTTCTCCAGAAGCTACCTTCAAAGCATGAGAAGAGGGCAGCTGGTCAGAGAAGGGCCTTTTTGGTAGTGACACCTCATTAATTAAATTTGCTTTCCGGAGAAATACACCCAGCACTGACACTGCACATGTTCCAATGCCAGGCAAAAACTTTTGTTATTTATCAGCATTTAATGTTTAAGCCATATGTTATTAATATCTACCACCAGGTCTTCATTTTTCTGTTGTGGTTCTTGTTTTTATTGGAATCTTGTATGTATTAATTTGTTTAAATACCTTGTAAATCGTTTTGTTTAGTTTTACTTATGATTGAATTGAACTGTTTTATTGATTGTTAATCTGTTTTAATATATTGTATTATGTTTGGATTTTATTGAGTTTAAAGTGTTCAGAGAGCCAACATGGCTGAGTGAATGGTATACTCTCTCTGTCTCTCTCTCTCTATGCTACCCTTGTATATATGCTACCACGAGAGAGAGAGAGAGAGAGAGAGAGAGAGAGAGAGAGAGAGGGAGGGAGGGAGGGAGGGAGGGAGGGAGGGAGGGAGAGGTCCTCTTGAGGATACTGGAGACTGCAAATGGATTGGAGAAAGGAACCCATCTGTTAACTCCAATCAGTGATCAGACACTTTGCCCATGCCATGCCTTTCCCATCAGGAAGGATGCACAGCAGGCAAGGAGGCTTAACATGAAATGCCAGCTAGACCTCTAAGCTGGTGCTTTCAGCAGGAGAACACCATAATGGGGTGTAGCCATGTCCCATCAGGCCCACAGGTGACCCAGGGTACATTCAACTCTGCATCCCAAATCAGTTCCCCTCCCCTCCTTTAGAGATTTGACCTGAGCTCCAGAAGTTGTTGCTCTGTGCCACCAAGTCTTCTCCAACTTCTAGTGACCCTATTAATGAATGCCCTCCAAAATGTCCTGTCCTTCACAGCCCTGCTCAGCTCTTGTACACTCCAAGCTGAGGCTTCCTTTATGGAGTCAATCCATCTTGCATTTGGTCTTCCCCTTCTTCTGCCTTCACCTTGTCCTAGCAAGATTGTCTTCTCCAGAGAGTCTTGCCTTCTCATGATGTGCCTGAAGTACAACAGCCTCAGTTTTACCTTTTTTGCTTCCAGTTCTGGCTTGAATTGATCTAGGACCCACTTGTTCATCTTTCTGTCAGTCCAGAGTATTTGCAGAGCTCTCCAACACAATGTTTGAACACATCGATTTTCTTCCTGTCAAGCTTTCTCCACTGCCCAGTTTTCACGCCTACACATAGTGATAGGAAATACAGTCATACGTAGGTGATCATGGCCTTGGTTTCCAGTGAAATGTCCTTACATTTGACCATCCTTTCTTGTCCCTCCATTGCTGCCCTTCCAAATCTCAATCTTTTTCTAATTCCATGACTGCAGTTTCTGTTTGAATTGATCACTGAACAAAGGTATGCAAGATCTTTCACAATTTCAGTTTCTTCATAGTACAGTTCACAGTAAAGTTCTGTTATTCTTCTATTGTCGCAATTTGTGTTTTCTCAAAGTTCAGTTGCAGTCCTGCTTTTACATTTTCTTCATCCACCTCCAAGTGGTTTTATAATGATAAGCTGTGACTAATATTTTTATTTTATTTATAAGATTTATGTCCTGCCTCTTTCTTTTTTAAAGAACTCAAGGCAGCTTAGATCATTCTCCTCCTGCTGCTCTCAATCTTATCCTCACAACAACCCTGTGAGGTAGGTTAGGCTGAAGGTCTGTGACTAGCCCAAAAGCACCCAGTTGGCTCCCTAATTGAACAGGGACTAGAACCTGACCTGTGCTCTTCCCCCACCCCTTTTTAATTTTTTTTTAACAGAAACAAAAACACAAATAGAACTGAAATACAAGTATATACCTTCAAATATATCA